TTGTATAAGAGTTGATGGTGTTGATGAACCGGTAGATTTTTTTATTTCTTCAGCATGATAAATAACATAAGCATCACCTTTAAAAAATATTCCATGAGATTCACGCGGTACAGCAACTAATTTAAAATTCTTTTCGAAAACAAAAAATTTAAAAAAAAAACAACGAAAATTAAATTAGAATAAATAGACAAACCTCAACACGCCATATACATAAACAAGATTTATTTTTTGGTATTGAAGCAAATGCTGGATCAAGTTCCATTCCACCACCACCACTATCAGATTCGCTCATTTTTTTCAATTATACGCTCATATACATATCAGCCAATTTTAGTCTAAAAAAGAAAGACGAAAAAGTAATTCCGACCTCCTACATATATATATATATATATGTATATGTATATCTGTCTGTCTGTCATTTGATCTGAAGCGCGATTTGTTTGAATTCATTTATGCAGACACGGTGCTGATGGCGGGCAACAATAATAGCAATAAAAAAAAATTGGAGTCTACTACCATCACTATTTCTCCTATTCTATTACTCTGTACTCTTGCACGTTCGTTCAATATTGGTAAGAGAGGGAGAGAGCATACAAGATGGAGGGTACCTACCTCTTTTTCAGTTCTCTTTTCTTTCTCTCTCTTCTTCTCATTTTTTTTATAGATTAGTACGCTTGCTAAGGTGTTAGTTTGTACGATGTTACTCTCTTCTCGTGTCGATCAATTATAAGCGCACACGAGATTCAAACAAAAACATCACATACACGCATATATATATATATATATATATAAACATATATAGACCACAATCGTGCAAAGCCCTAGAAGAGATTTAGTAACAATAACAAAGTATGTCACACCTATTTTTCAATATGATGTAATAGTTGAAATAAATAAATGCAAAAGAAAAGAATGAGAACAAGCAAAGTCAATCTTTTCTTTTCTTCTTATAAATGCAACTGATGCCATTGAAATTACAGGTCGACTTTCATCGAACAAAATGACAAGAAGAAAAAAAGAATGAAAAGCGAACAGCTGTTGACTTGTATATTTATAGACATACAATAAAGATTAACGCAAACATTGAAAGAAAAAAAAGAAAAAAACTTTCTCGAATCACTACAAATGTGCATGTAAAAGAATGATGACATGTTCATCAAAAAAACATCAACCATTGAGTAAAGAAAAAGAAGAAAAAAAAGGTGAGATTACACCGCTTGGTTGGTTATTTTAAGCATCATATGAAATGAAAACTCTAATCTATTGATAGATGTCGATGATGAGCTATTAGATTTGGAATCAACAACTTTTGTAATATATTTTTGATAAATTCTTGTTTTATTTATTATAAAAAAAAGTATTTTCAAAAGATTCTCGACATAACTTACTATACAAATGACATTACAAATGCATATAAATATAAAAAGAAAAGATAATATTTTTTAGACTTGATTTTCATTTACAGATATAAGTTTATCTTTATATCGTGTTTATATATTCCTATAGACTATCGTTTTATGAGCTAAATTTATAGAGCTTAAAAATAAGACGGTTCTTTGAAGTGTTCTATAATTGTTCTAAACTAAAAATACAATCCGACTTAACAGACACGATATGTTTGAAGATTATTTTCTCCAAGTATTTTGTTAAACGTTACTTTGAATGAAAACATAGTGCTAATATTAATTTAAACTTTTCTCTTTCCATAATCTGCTTTGTAGGACACAAATAGTAAAACTTGTTTTTTCTTGATTGAAAATAGTCTACAAATAATAAACTAGTAAATAATATCAATAATCTTGTTTGAATTGTTTGTATCGAAATAGATAATAAAAATAATCAAGATAAATATTGTTCATAATTATAATATTTGAAATTTTTTTTATATCTGAAAAAATTTATCTATATTTGAAAACTCATACGAAAGAATATTGTTTTGACAAGATTGACATGATAAGAATGTCAAAATATAATGAAAATTTTATGTTCTAATTATCATACACGTTTCTAATGCCAATCACAATATATAATTAATAGTATTTTTATATAATATGACTAAATCAATAATCAATTCGGATTAATATCAATATCAAACATTAATCACAGAATCACACGAAATAAAGAAAGGATGTTTTGGTGATTATTAAAGTAAATGCTCATACAATATCAATCTCATTGATATACATATTTATCTAAATAAATGGTAACGTATTGTATTATTTACAATGCAATGCCATATTCTCGACAGAGGACATATAATATTTAATGAAGAACCGACGTGATAAATGTGCAATTAATACTCAATGGAACTGAATAAATATAAAAAAAAGAAAAAAAGAAAAGAACCCAAACAAATGTTGACTGATAAAATATCTATCGATATAGATCTAGATTTGTTATTAATAATAGTAATGCTTTCAGATATTATCATACTTCTCATATAACAAACTAAAACTCTATCAGACATAAATAAAGAGTATCATTTTCTCATAAATACACTTATCATTGATTTCTATTATGACAATGGAAGACAAAAAGAATCAATTATTATTCATTGAAATTTTAGTTTTTTTTTGTTTTAACTGTTGTCGGAATGTTATATAGTGCATACATTTGAAATATTTGTAAAATCAACTATGATCTAGATTATTACTAATAAATTATTTGATGTGTTGCATGCTTGAAATATAGACAAAATAATGGTTGACCTGTAGATAATTATAACTTTTCATTATTCGACTCTGGTCCATTGATTCATTGTAGTTTTATTTATGAGAAAAGATTTTCGAAAGATGAATCATCTTACATCGAATGTTGGTGGAAAAAAATAAAAATCTATTCATCATATTGATCACTACAATGATAAAAGAAATTTGAGCCCATTATCTTTTCTATGACAAAACAAATAGATTAATTCGTTTTATTGGCTTATTTTCAATCGTCATATTGCAAGACTTAAGAATAAAAAAATCAATAATGATAATCCGCTTGTTTTCCAACAAAAAAAGTTTTATACAAAAGAAATATTTATTATTTGCAGCAACACTTATCTTACTCAAATGATTTTTAAGTTCAAGCGACTCGTCTGTCCAAGGTATCTAGACCAATAGTATTTCTGATAGGTTCAGTATATTTTCTTATTTTCCGAGTAAATTACATCTTCTCGTAACATATCAACCAAGTTTTTTATTCGTTTTCAAATAAAATTTTTTAAACTCATCTAGGCCTACTTGTCAGTTTAATAAGTTCTTGGTGCTTATCAAAAATATTTTTAGCTTGAAAAATGGATTATATTGAATATGCTTGATTGATGTTTTGGAATATACAATTATATGAGAATATTAACACATCTAACAAAAAATAAATAATTTGTTATTACCATTAGGTTTTTTTTGTTCTGGTTCAAAATTGGCTTCGTTTCCATTTAAATTTAAAATTATAGAGTTTTGAAAAACACAATTGTATATAGTATTTTATACAATTTTCAGATATTCTCTTTCTTTATTTTCTAAGAGATCTATTCGTGTAACTGACATTTACAAATGTACATTATTTTGAGCTGCTCGAAAATGAAAAATTACATGAAGAATATTAAGTTACAAGATTATGTTGTTTACTCAATCCTAATTTCTTAGGAAATCTATGGTTTAAAGTGCGTATCAATTAACTA